TATGTCAGTCAGTCCACCACTTCGGTCGACACTGAAATATCTCAACATTTAACGGATGGGTTACCATGGAATTTGATACAGAAATCCATGGTCCCCAGAGGATGCATCCTTGCCATAGTTGACATATGGTTTCAGTTTAAATATATCATCTGGTACAGGATGGATTGTCATGGAATTTGGTACGGACATGGTTTGTAATAACTTTGTTGAACAGTGTTACCAAATTGGATGCCCCATAGGCAATAAATATAAAGCTGGCCAATAGGTCACTTTATTCCAGCTTTGGGCAGGTTGCATGGGCTAATTTTTTGTATCATTTGGGCAGTTTCAAGCATAAATTGCACTCCATCTCTGATCTGAGTAGTAGCATTGAGACTGATGGAGCACTGACATCAGTAGACTCAGCTCAATGCACAACAACTTATAACTGATGACCATCAAAACCAAATGTCAATTCAGTTTATTACAACTAAGTAGAATCCAATCTATAGCGGCTAAGCCTAAAACTTTAAGTCACTGTGGGGTTTATAGGCGTACAGGTTTAAATGACGTGCTCACTCTTCTTAACCAGCTGCTAATGTGTGGTGGAAATATTGTTCAATTTCCTTTTATTGTTTCTGATACAAAGTTTATTTCTCATCATTGTAGTCCATAAAACATATACAGGAATCCGTCAGTCAGTGTCCATAAACATCCAAACAACAACATATTTCAATATGTAAGTACAACATACCTGGCATGAGATGGCACAGTGTTGCAGTCAAAAATTTATAATAATTAAAAACTATATGCCCTCTCCAGCTAGCAATACCTGTCCCTCAATGAAAGGTTCCTACCTGTATTGTCTGACCCAGAATAGTGACACCCACTGGCCCAATTGGAATCCCACATACAGACAAACAGAAATGGCTCCTATACAATCTCCTGTTCTACCACATTCCAAAGGTGTTCTACTGGATTCAGGTCTGGAGACTGGGGGAGCCACTGAAGTTCACTGAACTCGTGTTCATGAAAACAGTTTGAGACAGTTTGAGTTTTCCTTTGTGACATGGAGCATTACCCTGCTGGAAGTAGCCATTAGAAGATGGTAAACTGTGGCCATAAATGGATGCAGATGGTCAGCAACAATACTCAGAGAAGCTGTGGCATTCAAACCATGATTGATTGGTATTTAGGGCCCAAAATGTGTCAAGAAAACAATCTTCACACCATCACACCACCACCACCACCACCAGGACTGTTGACACAAGGCAGAAATCCAGATTCATCAGACCAGGCTACATTTTTCCAGACTTCAACTGTCCAGTGTTGGTGAATCTGTCTCCACTGCAGCCTCAAGTTTCTACTCTTGGAACCTGATGTGGTCCTCTGCTGTTGTAGCTCATCCACCTCAAGGTTGGACATGTTGTTCATTCTGATGCTTTTCTGCTCACCACAGTTACCGTAGCATTCCTGTCAGCTCTGACCAGTTTGTCTATTCTCCTCTGACCTCTCTCATCAACAAGATGTTTCCTCCACAGAGCTGCTGCTCACTGGATGTGTCTGGATGTTTTTGTCTCCATTCTGAGTAAAAACACTCTAGAGACAGTTGTGTGTGAAATACTCATACCAGTCCGTCTGGCACCAACAATCATGCCACGGTCAAAGTCACTGAGGTCACATGTTTTCTTCATTCTGATGTTTGATGTGAACATTAGCTGAAGGACCTGGATCAGCAGGATTTTATGCATTGCACTGCTGTCACCTGATCAGCTGATTGGAAAATTAGATGCAAGTGCTATATTTTGTTATTCAAATCTGGCAACACTTGTCATCTAGCACCATCACCAGGTCAAAATTTTAATTTTTCCAATACTGCAAAACCAGCCCTGAGTCAGGAGTTCACAGTGACTTTAAACACAACACAAACTTAAATTTAACCAAAACCACGATTTTTCACTAAACTTAACTAAAGTGCTTTAGCACCTAAACCATGGATGGGACCCTGGATATGACCCCCGGTCTCTGGTGTGACTTTGTACCCCCGCCATCCACCCCAACCACCTCTTTGTGACTCTGCTACTGTTCATGAACGTGACACTTCATTCATTCAAAAAATATGTTTCCAACTGAGCTAGATTGGTTTGAAAGTCTAACTAAGTGTCTCGAAGAAAAGTGAAAATTTGTGTCCACGTGTACAAATCAATAGATAATATTGTGTGACTATTTCACAAACTGCTGTGCTGAACATCAGTATGTTAGCAATGTCATTGTGAGGTTAATGTGGTCCTCCTCTGCTCATGCATACTGTTGGTGATAACAGAAAGCAGCAGTTGGAACCCGGGCTACACCATCTAACCAGAACACATGCTGGGTCACTGGCTCCACCGCCTACTAAACGAAAGGAAGTCTGGAGAGGGGGATGGAGGGAACTGTCTGGCAGAATTAGCACACCATTTTAAAGATCACAGTAGTAATTAGAGGGTCAGTGGAAATGAGAGACCAGAGTTCCTTGAGAAGAGAGACATAAAAGTAGAAAAAGCAGAATCTAAAGGCTGGGTATCAGCCTCAACAGAAGGCCTCCATCCACTGAAAACAAGAATGACCAGTCAGGTATCTGAAGCCCAGAGGAGACAGCTGACAGAAACTAAGAAAGGCAGTTGTTGGGGAATTATCAGGTATGCACCTTTACAGTGATGAATTCTGCCTCGCAGGTCCAACTGGAAACTGAGCTTTTGATGAAGATGATGAAATAGGCTGCTACAGATCAGAGCCTTTGATAAAGACATTAGAAGACTCGTGAACATGTTGATGATTTTATACCAAAATAAGCTTTTGCAAATCCAGATCCTTCTGTGGGGACCAACTACTTAGAGATGACCCCTTGAGGTCCAAATGGGCCCTTCCAAGAAGAAGAGGGGATTTGAAGTGCTGCTGCTCCTGTGTATCAGGAAACCCCCAAAAGCTTCATCAGATGGTTGAGGGTTTCCATGCAGTTTTCAGTGTGGTGATAAGAGGTTAGGGTTGAGATATAAAGGCCAGTATAGAGGCTCAAGGCTGGATGAACAATATTTGTTGTGAAGTGATGCTCTAATCATTTCTTACACACATCATACTAATTTCAAAAACATTTTTTCCAGTCTTTTGGTCAAGTTTCAGAAGGTTTTATAGCATCACAGAGGCTCTGAGTGGTGGAGTAATACCTCTGTCTTTTTAAAGGATCTGCTTTGATGAGAGAACAACCTTGGCACCCACAGTGCAGACCTCTCCTGTCCCTGTGCAGGCCACTGCCACGCCACATGTCATGAATCAGATGATAGAAAAGCAGCAGATACTGAAATGAATCAGAGATGTGGATGGTGAAGCTCTGTACTTCGGCCATCTTTGGAGAGTTTATGCTAATTTACGCACAAATCTACGCTGGTAAAACCGGCAGTGGGCTGTGTTGTGTTGGACCTGTCAGCATCTCTGATGTGGCGCATCTCAACTGCGTCAAGCGAAATACGGTTAGACGGCTCAGACAGGAAGTTACAATATTTGCTTTCCAAAATAAAGGGGTAACGTTTGTCGCTTTGGAGAAATGGGGCGTTGATCCACCCATTTTGTGTTCCCGCTGATTCCCACTCAAAGTCACAGGATGCTGATGCCTCTTCCACCAGGGATGGGGTGAAACGCAGGTTGAAACGTGGACCAATATATGCATCATATATAAGCACACATGATATAACTATATGATGCATATATAAACCGAATAATTCTGGATATTTATTAAAATTTAGCAGTACTTGGGCTAATACTATAGAATTCTGTATGTAATTCTGTATATATTTATCTGTATCTCTTATAAAGTAGCTTTGTGTCTCTATTTGAAAAGTATACAGGCTCTATCATTTTATCAGGATTAAAGCACATTGTAATAAAAGCGGGCCATTGCTACAAAATATTGATATGTATTAGGCTACTCTCGATTTTCAGTGTTTTTAATCATTTCGATTTTTTATTGCAACCACACAGTTTTACACTACAGCCTTTCTCTAGAAAAGCTAATGATGATAATAATAATAATAATGATAATAATGATAATAATAATAATAATAATGATAATAAATTACTTTATTTATTAAGTAGTTTTCAGAGCAGAGTTAACCTGCTTTATCAAAATAATTAGTTCAGAACAATAGGATTAAATAATCAGGCCACAATAAGTAGGCAACAAATAATTACATTTAATAAAATGATAATAACAACAAAACCACAGTAAAATAGATAAACTATAGAATAGATAAAGCGAACTAAAACGAGTGGCAATATGAATGATTTTTGTTATTTATTTAGGATAATGAGTTGTTTCATTAATGCGATCGCCATTAAGGCTTTTGCTTCAAAAACCAACGACCGGAACTGCTGTCTGCGTGTCGCCTTCCTGACTTGACGGTGGTGCGCATCTCACCGACCGGGAATACCGATTTCTGAACATTTCGGCCTTTTTCCCCGCTGCACCGTAAGCTGTGTTTTCCTGCGAGCTGCTGCAAAGCGGAGCGGGTTGCATTGGCGTCGCGGGGTGAGAGCGAAAGATTACAGCCTGTCGGTCAGTATTATGACAAACGGAGATGACACACATCCAGAAGGAGCCGTGTTTGTTTTGTATGGCGAAATGAGGCAGGGGGTGGAGAGTCGCCACAGAGACGCTGGGCTCCGGCCAAACATCACCGCATTTTAGCACTTATTCGATGCTAGGGATTTGCATTGCATTGCATTTGCTGCATCGTTGATCGGCCGTATTTTTGCAAAGTGCATGGTGGAAATGCAGCTTGTTTGAGGACACCCCCCTCCAGATATCAATTGCTGCCATGATAGGCAGAGGTCTCCTCTCGACCGCGGCTCAGCCGGTTGGAGAAGAGGCAGATTGATTTGGGACGGTGGGTCGCATCTGCGGATGTTATTCTGTCTGTGGAGCCTTTATTTCATCCGCGCAAATACACCGTGATTCTTACTCAGGGAAAAAGGAGAAAGAAAACAACATGTCTTCTCGATCTGCATTACCGTCTGGAAACGACAGGAGTACTGGAGACCATGTAAGTGCAATTACAGCCTATAGCCTGTATTTGTGTGCATGCAAAAGATAAATCGTGCATCCCCTAAACGGAGATCTCCTCATATCTGTGGCCTTTTGCATTCACTGGCTTTATTCACAGTGCAGACTGGGGTCACAGATGGTGCTATTTTTCCTCATTAGATGAAAGGCCTCTGGAGATTATATTGGATGGATATTTTATCGGAGCAGGCTCTTTCAAAATGGGCTAACCTTGAGTGTCTGCGCAGCCCGGAATGAGTCCATCCGCATACGATAACACTCAGCGGATATGCGCAGAAAGCCTGAAAACCAGCCGTCACCTCTTATTATAAGGCTGTGGAGAGAGAGTGATGTCACATAATACTCCTTGCTGCTGCTGCTGCTACTGCTGCCTCCTGTGTGTGCGTGTGTGTGTGTGTATGTGTGCATGTGTGTGTGCGCGCGCGCGTGTATTCCCCAGAAATTGGATGGGTGGGACAAGAGCACAGAAGGCCAAAATAAATGTGTAGAGAATATCTGGGTTGTTCGCATGAAGCGAGGGGATTACTGCGTAAAATGATGTGCAGTCCATTGCTGCGCAGCCTACAAAGCGCCCAACCCCAGAGCCAGTGGGTGTCAGACAGCGCCGTACATTCAGTACAGTGGAAAACAGTAGCGGCCTGCAGAAAAGACAGAAGCCAAGGGGGTTTATTCATGTGAGACAGACAGAATAACAGGGTCCACTAATGTAGACTCCATCTATCCATCTATCCATCTATCCATCTATCCATCTATCCATCTATCTATATATATATCTATCTATATATCTATCTATCTATAGCCCTACTCCTTATTAATGTACATCAAAATGGTGACATTACTGATTGACGTTGCATTATGTCATTTCTTTGCCTAAAACACTTCTGGCAAGACCCCCCCCCCTCCCCATCTGTTTGTTAGCAGAGCTTTCAGCACAGAGGGATGGTTAAGCCAGTAGATTTGTGTGTGTGTGTGTGTGTGTGTGTGTGTGTGTGTGTGTGTGTGTGTGTGTGTGTATCTGTGTGTGTGTGGTGTGTGTGTGTGTGTGTAACTTGGTGTGTGTGTGTGTGCGTGTGTGTGTGTGCATGATTGATTATGAATGCAGATCCGTTCCTTCCATTAGAACGGATCTCGATCTGCTGTCATCACTCTACAATTAAGTGATGATGACAGATGAGTGAATTGACAGGACGTTGCCACACTGGCACAGGTGAGGCTTTGGCTGGATGTGCGTTGTACAGTCCGTGGATTAATGTACTCTGCTGCACACTGCAAGAGCCTCCAGTGCTCTGGGCTGGGACTGGTTATGTGGACTGTAGAGAGAGTCCAAATTGGTTCTAGGTGGGGCGTGAGAACAGGAATGGAAGCATGGGAAGATAGGAGTGTCTGAAGGTGGGGCTTAAGGCTGCGTGGTTGTGTTTGCATTTGTGTGTGTGTGTGAAGCTGAGAGCAAAATTACATGCTGGGGGGATGGAAGTGTGATGCCTCAGGGAGTGGGACTGGCCAGGGACCACTGTGCCGGCATCTGCTCCCTTTTTTACGCTCGCCTCCTACATCTCTCTCTCTCCACTAGTTGTCCTTTCTCTGGTTGTCTCTGTCTTTTCTGCCCCTTTTCCATCAGATATCCTGATTTCTCTGTGTCTTAGTATGGCCTGTTGTTTTCCTCCCCCCACCATCTCTTCTCTGTCTTCCCTCCTCTGTATCTTCCCTTGTTTTGTCACATGACAAGAAGCCACTTCATACTGTAATACATCAAGCTTTGTTTGTGTAAATGCACATTGTTGTCCCCCCTTTCTCTTCTGCTTTGTTTACTGGCTGAAAATTATCAGTGACTCAAGCTTTGGACTCTATCATCGCTGCACAACAATACTCTGAAGCATCGGGGTCCAGAATCGAGCAGCGTCAGTCGGTAACGTGGAGCAGCAGCAGCAGCAGCGCAGCTAACTGTTTACAGGGCGGTGAAAGCTTCAGGGCTACCTCACATTGCAGTGAACATATTAAATTTACAGTCTGTCACACTGCATGAAGACATCTTCGAGCAGTCAAGTCACAGAGCTCTAACGACAATGATGCAGAACCCAAAATGGAAACATTATGTTCAAGTGTTCTTGAGCTGTTAACCCAGAAGTGAAGGGCATGCATTCATTCAGCTCAGCTTTAGTCCTCTTTGTGTTTGTCAAGTCTACCAAAAGATTATAAAGCTGGGCTGTGTATTGTAACCGTGTTTTCAGAGATGTACACTCATCTGTGAAGCAAGTGGCTGCTCAGTGACTCCACAAACGCAGCAGATACTCAGTGTGATAGGGAGTTCCCTGGACATATGCCTTCAAACTGTTTAGTTTCTCTCTGGATCTCCATATTCTTAGTTGTGCAGAGTTCACAACTAGCTTGCAGAGACAGAAGGAGCTCACCCAGATCATTGTGCTTCTGTGGACCATCAGTGCTCCACTGGTACAGACAGACCTGGAGGACCTTTGCCAGCCTACTACTGCTGCTGCTGCTCACTTTAACCCCCTCCCCCTCATTTTCTTCCAGCATGTGTCGCTGGGGGCCAGCCGCTCAGACAAGGCCACCAGCCAGTCCAGCCGCTCGCTGGGTGCCCGGTGCAGGAACTCCATCGCCTCCTGCTCTGACGAGCAGCCGCACATCGGCAACTACCGCCTGCTCAAGACCATCGGCAAGGGAAACTTTGCCAAGGTCAAGCTGGCCCGCCACATCCTGACGGGCAGGGAGGTGAGACACGGGGCACTGGAGGTCCAGGGAGGGGGGAGGGACAACAGGAATGGATGATTAGATGATGAATGAGGAAATTATGTTTGTAGGGTGAAGAAAGGCAAGAAGCTGCTGATGTCGCTGGTGTATTTAAGATGTAATTCAGTCCATTATCGAGTCTTCATCATCATATTTATAAAGAAGTAAATTTCACTGTATAGTCGTATCTTACCTCCTTATTGAACCTCCTCTATCATAATTTTCACTGTTCAAGTTTTTACTTTATTTCAATAGAAATGATTTCAGTCCATTGTTCAGTTACTTGAAGAATGACAAGGTTTAAACTAGGGCTGCACAATTAATCAAAATTGCAATATGGCCAAGTGCAAAATCCAAATTGCAAGAGCTGCAATTTTTTGGATAAAGGTAAAATGTGTCACAACAGGCCGTAAATGAAGCATTGTGGTGCTACAGAAACACCCGGCCTACAAATCATATTCTCCAGATGTAAAGGGACATGTTGGGACAAGCCTCAACAAAAATCACATCATCATTTTCCTTTTTTTTTTCAGTGAAAATTAAATGCAAAAACGCTCATTCCAACAGAAATCATGACACATATTGCAATTGCAATATCTGCCAAAATTATCACAATATGATTTTTTTGCATATCGTGCAGCCCTAGTTAAAACACTGGATACTTAATGATGAAATAAATAGGTATCACTTCATGAAAGGTTTATAAGTTGTAACTAATTGCTTTTTTAATGTTTAATAAGCCATTTAATAAAGATTTATAGATCAGTTATAAAACATTAAGAACAACTTTTGGAAAGCCAGGTTGACTGATTGGACTGTATGACCACCTACCTTCTTAATGGATTACCAACATTTAACTGCATTATGGCCCAATAGAAAGGATGAACACTTCTTTACAACCTGGCAACCCCAAATCTGCTTTATTAAATGGCTTAGATCTGAACTATAAAGCATTAATGAAGGATTTATGAGTCATAAACCCATTTACAAATGGTGGCTTCGTTAAAAGAGCTACAACAAAATGGATATAAATTGTATTATTTTGATGTGGGACCGGTATACTCTAAAATAGGGTAGATAGTGGTGTTGATTAGTTTCAGGATTTTTAGGCCGTGTCCTTATGATGCCCTAAAACACTTTGAAGTGTTTTCATTTTTTTTTCTTTTCTGAAATTGGCAGTACACCATCATTATATCCCGGGTTAGCTGTGCCAATGCAAGTCACTAGGGATTAAAACCACACAAACTGACTTTACTACAGCTTGTTGAGGAACTGTTCACAGTGTACTCAGCCCACGTTCACCTGCTTTGGTAAACAGTCTCATGCTCTCCTTTGAATTATATTTATCTACATTTTTGGATGATGAGACATTATTGTTGGATATGGATCAGTGACATCAGCAGGGAAGACGTCTGAGTGTCAGGTAGGGAGGTGATTATAAGCAAAGGTGAATTTTAATGGTGACGTGTTGATGTCTTTTCCAGGTTGCAATAAAAATCATTGACAAAACTCAGTTGAACCCAACCAGCCTACAAAAGGTGAGTTTTTCTTCTTTATACGGATGGATTGGAGAATCTGTGCATAATGTCTTTGAGTTAAAAATGAAACACTTTTAATGGTATCTAGTGTGAATAGTGTCATAATGTGGATGATTTCACATGATCACGTTGGTGTAATTCAACAAAATACGGATATGCCGCTGGGGACTTGGAGAGGTTCAGGTTTATCCTCCGTTTTTTCCCCCTCAGAGGGGGCAGGAACGAGAGAGCAGCTGATAGAGAGAGGGCACATAGGACATGATGCTGTTTGGCAGGTGCTAGGGACTGGATGGGAGTGAGAGGAGGCCTCTGCTCCAGAGGTCATCTCTCGTCTCTCTCTGGGCTAATCGCTGCCCTGAGAGGGGAGGTGACGCATGTCGGAAACCGCAGTCATCCAACCTATCCTTTTTTTTTTGTTGTTTATGTTCTTCATTTGTCTTCCCCTAACACTCCCTTCTGTAATTATTTTGCGGTCGATGTTGCTGGGTTTGGTGGCCGTCTCATTGCAAGAGGTGTCTTTAGAAAAGCTTACATACTGTGTGTCACATGGAGGGCTTTTGATGGGCTGGCTTCTTTTTTTCCTGCTGGTCAGCATGTTGACCGTTGAGCCTGAATGGTGGGCACTCGAGGTTTGTTGTGCATGAAGGTCGGGGACATGCGGAACAGTGGCCGCTTTGGTTTTGGCAGCTATCGGCCTCAAGAGTGGTGCAGACACACATGCTTAACTCAGATTCAGCAGCTGGAGTTGTAGACATCTGGAGCAGGAGACCTGGACCGGTAGACATCCACATCCAGACACAACATGGCTGACGTGAAGGCCAGTTTATCAGGGTTGATCAGGTGCTCAGATGTCTCCATCTCCCAACCACAGGAATCAAAAACTTTTCCGCCCTGTCACGTGTACCTCATGCAGCTGCATCATACAGCTACAGTACGTAGTGGTGAAGGAATAAATGTGAATTAAAGAACGCAGATCACCATTCAATAAACCCATATTTGCCTGTGATGCTGCTTATGTGCACATACAGGCCAAAGTGTCTCCCTCTTTTAGCCATAAGTCTGTCCTTCCCTCTCTCTTATCTCTTTCTACCTCCCTCAGCTCCTCTGCCTGCAGGCAAGAAGTGAACAGACCAGAAGGATCAAATCAGGGATGAAGTAATTGTGCTTTATATGTGTGTAGAGTGTGTGTGATTTTGTTTGACAGGAAGATGTCTGTATGTCCTGCTACATATGGTAAAAACACCAGTGTTTCTTCACGTGAGGTGAAATGTAGAATTAAAGTAGCAGGGGCATATCGAGGATTTCTAGGGCCCATGAAATATTATTGCTAAGGGCCCCCCCTTTATCCTACTGGAAATTGTGTGGGGCCCTAGAATCGTCCACTTTACTGGTAGCAGCAAAATGTCCAAACGATTTGCCCAGATTAAATGTTGATTAAAGAAAATAATCCTTTTGATTATATTTCTTTTTTTGTAGCTGATCTTTTCCTCAATCTCTGTATTCACCATGCAGCGACAGCAGTGACCTTGCGTTGTTGTAGTATTATCAAGGCTTTATCCCATAAATGCAACTTTTCAGTGTTTTATTTTCGTTGCCCTTTTGATCGCTGGCTTCCTCTAATCCTGATACTTTGACTCATCATATTGTTTGTGCTTATATCATGACAGAAAATGGAGCTTCTTTACTTTACCTGGCCAGAATATTAGACGCTTTGCAGGATCTGTTAAACACAACTTGTATATTATCCCGTCTTCACGCCTGGTGCTTTTCTTGGACCGGACAGGCTGCGGTGAAAGACAATGGTGCAACATTTAGGACAGGATTCGGGAGAAAGAGGCGAAGGATTGGCCACTGAATGGAGAGAATACTCTACAATTGGCTGGTGATGATAGCAGGCTTCTTTACATACCCGTGGGCTAGAGAAAATCCTTAGTACTGAAGACATGAAAGAGCCCATATTAGCATAATCTAGAGGTTGATGTATGTAGAGGGGAGAAGGGAAGAGGGAGATGTATAGAGGTGGATAAAAGAGGGGGAGGAAGGAAGGAAAAGAGGAAAGTGAAATCACAGATGAGAAAATCAAACCTCAACATCCGTGAAGAAGGATTTTTTGAGAAGGGAAGATTACAGAGGCAGATTACAAGAGGAGACTTTCACATTGTCCTCTGCAGTGTTGGAGGACACCTCAAAACAAAATATGTGTCAGAATTTTATTTATTAGTATATTTTATTCTGTGTCCCAGATTAAATTTACATTACATACTGCTTTTTTAATTAAAGCCAGAAACCTCATTGCCACAGTGCATGTGTGTGCGTTAACAGTGACCAGAGTCCAACATGTTGCTGGGCGGATTGTTTATTGTTTTGATGGACCTGGTCGCTCAGCCCTGCCATGACAAGCACGGAAATAATGGGATGCCTGGATGATGAGAGGTTTCTGCACTACATATCCCAAGATTCCCTGTAGCACAGCTGGAGAAGCAGGGAAAGAGCCCGGTCTTAATACCTGGGTCGCTATGGCAACAGTGACGTTGTGGGGCACGGCTAGAAGAGAAGACTGCGAGAGGAACTGAATGAAGGGGGAGAGAATGGAGGGAGACGCATCAGGAAATAAGAGAGGGGGAAGGATTGAGAAAAGAGGATAGAAAAGCTTATCGCACCATCTTTTTTTTTTCAGTTGGAGTTGACAACACGGAGGAGAGTCGCTGGTTTTCAGCGATGGCCTTTTACTCAGGGACTGTACTGTTACATACATGAAACCAGGGGAGCTGGCTCAAATTTAATCCCCTGCTCTGCTCTGACAAAGTGTACAAATATATCCCCCAGAGTAGACGTATCACATGCAGTGAGAAGTTGGTCTGTTTTTCACCGCGGAGCCATCGCATTAGTGTATGGGGGTCCATGCTGTTTTTAATGGTGAGGAGGTTTTGTTGGTTGTTGTCACCCTTGCAAATTCTCATTTGGATGAATATCAGACACAGGAAGTGACAAAAGTATAAATTTGGCTGCTTGTACAGGTCAACCTCCGATGTCATCTTAATTTGATCTCAGCAGCAGAAGTGATTGCACATTAGCTGAAAAGTTATATGATAAATAAACAACCAGGCACTGAGCTACTTGACATAGATTCCCTTCACTCCCCTCAGTAATCTATGTGTATTAATAGAGGACTCACTGATTTATATCTGCACTCCTAAAACACTGTTGGACTCATGACGGACAGTTTGGAAAAAAAAAAAAAAAAAAAATCAAAATTAATTTTTCTTGCCAAAACATGGTGACAACATTACCCACAGTACGACTTTGTGCCAACAATTTGGTCAGAAATTCAGTGGTATTATGCTAATAGCCGCTAATGCTGCAAGCTGACTCAAGTGACATCAGTTGAGGCAATTTATCAGATTTTGTGCAGCTCCCTCTGGAGTACTTCACCCCAACATTTGTAAACAGACTTTGATCTGTAAAGCTGGTGAAGTTCTCCTTTAATGTGCTAACAACTGTGGTTACAGTATGCTAATTTTCCATGTTAATCTTCCTATTAAACTCCAAAAATGACTCAGGACAAGTGCCAGTGTTGAAGTGACTCAGTAGAAGTTGGTTAAGGGCTGTAGAGGAGTAAATCATCAAGTCCACCTTGTCAGATTCTGCAACTAAAGTTCTTCTCCTGTGGCTTAAATTGCTTAAATTTTGCAATTGGAAAACAATTCACATCGATTTAACACATTTGTGAGCAAAATTATGTTTCTGACAAATTGAAAGGCTTGATCCTCTCATTGACAATACAGATACTTTTTTTATGTCATCTTGTTATGAAATTATTTAATTAAAATTTATTGGAAATACTGGTCTTTGGCCTCAAATATTCGAGATTCATGATTTTGGTGATGACTCACTTTTAGCTAGTCTCATCTCTTTCTGATATAGAGTCACTGTAGTGTCCAGTCTGGCCTGAAGAAGTAACGCTGCTCAGAGGACGTAGTACCTCTTTTATTGTAAATGTGATTAGAATTATATGTTTGCAAGAATTTGAATTTTTACAATTCAATCGATAGGAATCACTACAACTTTTGTGAAAGCTCTCAGCTGTTGAAATCTAATGGTGATCTGCTAAAAAGGAAAATACAAAAGTCCGCTATACTCATTTTACATGCCAACCATGACAACCTGACATTTCCCTGGGGTCATGTGACCTAAAGGGTAGTAAGTCAAAAATGAAACCCCTCATCAACTTCAAGAACATACACGGTTCTATATTTTAAATGTATTGCTATAAGCATGACTATAACAGTGCCCTCATCGCTACAATTTAAAGCACAGATTTACTGCATTCTGGATGGACAGTGTTCAACACTCAGAGGCAGTGATTGGATTTTATTTATGACCCATATTGTCATGCTATAATATTCTGTCTCTTCTTCCCAGCTCTTTCGGGAGGTACGGATAATGAAAGGCTTAAATCACCCTAACATAGGTAAGGCACATACATACATCTCCATGGACTCTATGTTTGTGTGTATCCATCTGCGCGTGTGTGCGAGAGATTTGTTTCCATGTGTGGAGAGATTTGCTTCCATGTGTGACCAGACGGAAGTATAATGCTTTGAATAAGCTTCAGAGCATTCATTGACCAGAGTCTAGCAAGTGATGTCTCAGGCCTCATACAGAGGTCACGAGCTGGGATTTTCTAAAGCTGAAATGTCATATGGATCAAAAACCCCCACAGCATTAACAGCAGGTTCCTTGGTATTAAGACAGACTGGCAGACGGCTGTGTTATTATTTATAACATGTGCAGGATTTGTTTATATATATTTGATTTTAATCTGATTCTGTTTTGGCCCACAGTGCAGCTGTTTGAGGTGATTGAGACGGATAAGACCCTTTACCTAATCATGGAGTACGCCAGTGGAGGTGGGTACATCTGTCGTCATCTTTTCAATTCAGCTGCAGCAGGAAATTCTTTATCATGTGATCGATATTATAATGTATTTTAATTCCTCCATTTGGATGCATGGTGAAACACAGTGGCTAATGGTAAAATTGCAAAACACTGCTTCATTTGAGGGGTATTTCTTTCCATAATTGAACAGCTTAAAGAAATAGTTTGACATTTTGGGAAATATGCTTATTTGCTTTTTTGCTAATAGTTAAAAGAGATGATTGATGTCACTTTCATGTTTGTATACAAAATATAAAGCTAGAACCACATTAGCTTAGCTTAGCTTAGCCAAAAGACAGGAGGCAGTGGTAACAGCTAGTATATTTCTGTCCAAAGGTGTTTTTTCTTCACTTGAACAGAATAATACATACAGTTCATACAGCATACGTACTGTGCAAACAAAACTGATTATTCTAGGGATGCAGCCACCAAATATATACGTATTTATATATGCAACCAGTCAAAAGTTATACCACACCTTAATTTTTCCAGTTGTTACAAAAATGTATGGGCTCTATTTTAACGGTCCAAAGCGCATGGTCTGAAGCGCATGGCGAAAATGCATGTAGGGCAGAAAAAAACTGTCGCTGCGCCAGACACGTGGTTCTTTCAAGGTTGTACTTAATCTCTTGATTATTCATTGAAGTGTTTTGGGTGTAACATCCAATAAACCAATCAGAGTGCCATCTCCGATTCCCTTTAAAAACCAGGTGCTCCAATGACGCAGTATTTCACACAGAATTAGATTCTATTTATGGTGTGTTGATTACATATTGTGACTGACCAGTGAACCCAGTCCACAAGCACGCCATAGCTCTGTGCGTCCTGGGGGGCAAAGAATGGCTGAGTAAATCAGTGAGCTCTACCAAGAAGTAACGGCACATATCACAACGTTAAAAATATTTTATGTTATATGATGAGAGGTTTGAATAAATCTTGCGTTTCGTTATGAAATTGTGGTGGGACAGACTTAGTCTAGGTAATGAACAGGAAACACTGGCAGATTTACCAGGTAGTAAGAAAGAACGCTTCTCTGCAGTGCCGTTGCGCGTTGTGCACCCACCTATGCAGGTGCATTTTAATGCCCCCTTAAAATAACAGTGAAATACTGAGCCACTGACTTAAGACCAGGTTTTTGTTGGACAATCACGCAATCACTTTCCGCTGGCTCAAAATTGCAGTGCGCCATTAATGCTTCTGACCACACCTCATTTAAAGACCGACACACCCATGGGCGCTCCAATGGGCGCAAATGTATTTGCTATTTACACTATGTGGGCAATGGAAAGGAAAATGACAACTGCGTTGATCTGAAACTAGCAAAGACACTTGCATTGCGCCACTCTGCACCAGGTGTAAGTCAGGGCCCTACATGTGTAATGCCTTATAGTTTCTAAAATTAAATATAGAACAAATAAACAAATATTTAAAAAAAAAAAAGGAATCATGGAATATTAAATCTTTTAATCGAAACTTTTGACTCATTCAGCAGCTGAACACACTTGTGATGTTCTTTCCTCAATGGAAATCAAACATTGTTCAAGGTTTTTCCCAACACTGTTGTACAAGTTCCCACAGATGCACTTTTGCATTTGCATTTGTTCATCCCAAACCAACTCGATGTGGTTTAAGTCTGGAGACTGTGCTGCTCTTCCATCATGTGGAGCCTCTGTCTGGTTCTTCTCTTCTAATGTTTTGGCTCATTATCTTGCTGAAGGATGAATCCCTGACCAAAGAGTCTGCCCTCCTTTGTTTCTTGACTTTTTCTCACCATTCTGATAACAATATACAGCACTACTTCCTGTACGTCCTGTACAGTATTATCCTAATAATGCAGTTATTGCTTACCTTGGTACCATTTATGGTTATTCACTGGACTACTGGAGCTGCAAATGAAGCTGAATTTTTTAATAAAAACTGAAAAAATGGGGGTGTTTCAAAATGTTTTGACCAGTAGTGTCATGTATTTTAAAAATAATATGAGTTTGTGAGGCAATCAGCATAGACTCTAGGAAGTCACTATGCCCAACCAAGAAATAGTCTAGCACATAACATTTACATTTACATTTACTCATTTGGTAGACACTTTTATCAAAAGCAACTAACAAGTGAGGGACAACACTAAAGCTTCAGTGCTGTAGGAGACCTTGGTCTAAGTACTACATAAATTTAATATAACCCCCTAGTAAAAATACAACTTGTTTTTACATTGACATTTTTGTACAAAATAAACAGCTGACACGTAATTAATGTTCATCAATACGGTTTAAAGTTGCTAATATATGTGGATATTTTCTACCTTTGGACAGCTACCCAGAGTTAGGCTACCCTGCTTCCAGTCTTTATGCTAAGCTAGGCTAACAGTCTGCTTGCTGAGCATTATATTCAATGGATTGAGAATGAGAATGGTATCAATATTCTCATGTAATTCTTGGCATATTTGTCCAATGTTTAAATGTCCTTTCAGAGATACACCTTCATCCCCTTTACAGTTGAGAAAATTAATATGAACTTTACATCTCAGCCCACATTAACATAACATTTTAATTTTTACTTTACAGTCTACATCATTGTGTTTTAATAGTGTTCTTGAAACAAATTATAACATTATGTTGGAATAATTTTTATTTTCCTTGCATCACTTATTCTAGACTTTAATTTGTGAAATTTACCTATTTTATCTATTCAAACCAGTGATATTTTGGAATTCTGAGATATTGAGACCGTGTACAGTAAAAAATGCAGCGTACAGTAGATGTGTTTCCTTTTAATCTGATAGGAAAGACAGTATCTTTAAATTAAAGATGACTGCAGACTCTCCCCTAATAAGTGTTACATTCAAACTTAATAGACTATGGAACCACAGCATAAATAAGTGAGCAGTCCCTGTGCAGTAATGGTGCTGCTATTTAAACAGACTTCTAACACAGTTTCAGGAGTAAAGCCAGCGTGTTGCATCTAATGTCTCCTTTTCTTTTTGCTTCTATTAGTCTCTTATTTTTCTATTTGTGTCAGTTTCTTCTCACCAATTCCCCTTTTTTCTGTGCTCTGGCCCAGACCATATCATTTGCTCACGGTGACCTTGGAGAATGTCACAGATAGTTTCAAATGTGGCTTTCTCTCAGGCCCATATTACCTTTTAAGTCACAGATAAATAGATCATAAGGAAGTATAGGGGAGTTGTAGTGGTTCCTGAATTCCTGTGAAGACCAAAATGTACTCTCTATCTTTATATACATTATATTCAATACAATATCCAACAGTTTGCTACATTAATACAAAAGGGACTAAGGGACTGTATAAAAATTCTTGTGAGGGGCTGGGGGGTCATAAAAAGAGTTAGGGTTTTTTTTTGTGTTTGAGGGGAGAATAGTCAGAATATTTTGAGGAGAACACGAGAGGGTTTTACACACATTTTTCTCACCCCATACTCCAATATATTTTAAAATATTCATTTTATACTGTTGATTCATATTGTTTTATACGAGTGAGCTTGTACAATGGGGTTGGATGTTTGTTTCACAGTGTATATTTTTATGTTTTTATATTTTAACATAGTTTGACAAAATACACTTATTCATTTTCCTGCTTAGTTTAGCATTACCACTCGAAATGGGTGGAAAATACCAAGCTTGGCTCTGTCCAAACGTAGCAGAATTTCACTAAAGCTGACTAAGCTAATGTACAAATATAAGTGAAATTATATAACTGTGCTCTATAATAATAATAATATAGGTAATTATTGAAGTAGACAAGAGGCATAACATCAGCAAACCAACACAGTAATGTCAGCTATGCAGCAATATCTACCTAAACTCTGCTAACATTAGATTGTGGTCATACCAGACCAAGTAAGACTTTAGCAGCATAAACCAAATGTACTGAACTGAGTAAGGGTGCATTTTACTGCCTTTGAATTCAACTTTTATTTCTTCCTTCCAAATTTACGGTGTCTTACTTTAAACTTCAAATAAACCGACATACAGCATGTTAAATAATGAGCTTTAGATGTGCTCATAGGTAAATTTTGTAACCTGTGGACAGAACCAGGACAGCTGTTTCCTGCAGTTTCCTGTCTTTATGCTAGGCTAGGCTAACTGGCCTAAGCTTCGTATTGAATGGATAGATATGAGAGTGGTATTGATCTTCCCATCTATCTCTTGGCAAGAAAGTGAATAAACATATTTCCCAAGATGTCAAACTATTCCTTTAAGTCTTTAACATCGTTAAAAGACAATTTTCCTCCCCTGAGGAGAATAAAGTTGAAGTAGACGCCTTGACTGCACTTATAAAACTTATAAATGTTAACCTTATAAATATTAATAACTCAATTAATGTGACTCATATTAAGTGTGTATATCAGCAATGTATAATCAATAACAGTATGACTGTAATGCTTATGGCTTTATTACCGGACTGATCTCACAGGTGAAGTGTTTGACTACCTCGTGTCTCATGGGAGAATGAAGGAGGTTGAAGCCAGAGCCAAATTTCGACAGGTACGAATAAACCACCTCTTGCCCACGTTGCACCAGTCCTCACATTTAATTGTCAGTACTTCAAATTTGTCTGTGTCCTCATGTCCACAGATTGTTTCCGCTGTCCACTACTGCCACACGAAGAACATTGTCCACAGAGATTTGAAGGTGAGAAAGCTCAGAAGATGTTTTGGGCTGCTTTCAGAGATGAGGGATTAAGGCTAGTCCAAGACTAGGACATTTCTTTCACTGACAGATTACACTAAACTGAAAGTTATAATCTGGGACTAGTCCTAATCTGTGTCTGTGAAAAGGGCCCTTTAGCATCTTAATCACACAGTAAAGCACTGATGAGTGGAGAGGCTGATTTTTTTTCACCAAGCTGAGAAGGGTTTGAGGCAGTCCCAGTCTGGCTCTTGTTGTAGTAGATTATAAGATTCCTAAACACACACAGTGACATATATACAGTATGAGTCACGTCCAGTATCTGTGTTGTTGGACAACATGCAAGCACCACCCCCCTCCTCCCCATCTGTCTCTCAGTCGTGCTCTTTTTATTTTCCTCATCACAACTCCCATTCTTGTGTCCACCTACTTTCTCATTCCTCTCTCTCCTCCCCCATCCAACTATTTTCTCCACTGCTCCCCCCTTCCTCCCCACCCCCAATGTGTTGTTCTCTGTATACATCCCTTTTTCTACCCTCCTTCCCTTCCTCTCGACTGGCCATCCCTGCCTCTTTCTCCTCCACATCAATGTATGTATGACTCAGGCGGAGAACCTTCTGCTGGATGCCGACGCCAACATTAAGATCGCCGACTTCGGCTTCAGCAATGAGTTCACGCTGGGCAACAAGCTGGACACTTTCTGTGGCTCGCCGCCCTACGCTGCCCCAGAGCTTTTCCAGGGCAAGAAGTATGATGGGCCTGAGGTGGACGTCTGGAGTCTGGGAGTAATCCTCTACACACTGGTCAGCGGCTCTCTGCCCTTTGATGGGCAGAACCTGAAGGCAAGTGGATGGGAGGAGGGACTGTCTGTCTGCGTGTCTGTCTGTGTGGGTAGACTCAGAGGCTAAAGGATCCCTCAGTCAGATACGGTAACAGCAATGGCTTTACTTATATTGAAATGCATCTGATTAAGTCAAGAAAAAAAGTGAGGCATCAGGTTTGGTTCATAAAACCTTAAAAAACCATGACATGAAAAATCTATCCTGAAGAATCAACAAAGAAAGGTTGTAATTTGCCTTCTCAGTATTCACACTTGCCTTTAATGTCCTTTTATTAATCCATTCTACAAAAGAGGCCTTGAATTGTGTGATATTTTAACTTGTCAGTGCAAGACCGCTACACAGTCCATGGTTGAACCCTTGAGTTTGATAATATATGGTATTTAATGATTGAAGAACCATTCTGTGGTGCTGTACAAAACCTATTATTTTGATGTGTGCTGTACTGAGCGTCATGTTGAGGCAGGGTGATTTCAAGTGTTATCTTGATTATTATTATTATGTGATGTGTTCTGTTACAGTAAAAGTGGATAATAGAATTTCTGCCTGGCCCCAAAGTGCAGAAACACAGGCCTTTGCATAGTCTGGATCAAATCCAGGGATGTAGTAGCTTCCTGGTGACTCAGTGAATGACGTGTTGGTGTGGCATTCTGGTCCTGAATGTGGTCCAGGACCTTTGTGTCTCATTTCCTCCAGCGATTTTCTGAAAAACATCATTTTTGTTCATGTGGATTGCCTAATGATCACTGACTGACATAGTTCACAGTTGTTGTTATTCATTAAATCACTGTAAAATATAACATTTACTAAAAACATATACCCCCTTTAAAGAGTGGCTGTGAATTGTGGTTGAAATAGAGAAGAGAGAAAGAGAAAGAAGAGAGCGAAACTTTAACCTGACTCGATACTGAAGTTTTGAAGCTTGTATTGATATTTGAGAGTCTTTTTACCAAATGTATGTGAAGCCTGCATTAACTGCTTTTCATCTACGCGGGGGCCTGCAACAGGCTGCAACCACGAACATCTTATAAATATATAAAGTTGACATGGTGAACGTGTTAGCACACCTGATTGCTAACATTAACAAATCACACACATCCAGCAGACATGTAGCACCATTAGCATTCATTTAGAGACATGCTTCTGTCCATCTGGCAAATCTACAAGTCCAATAATAACTCTTGTTTTAGCTCTGTTTTTGGTGTCCACCAACTCCTGCAGGAAACGTCTGGTTCTTTAGCTGCTAAATGCACCACAATGTTTATCACCAGCTAGTTGCTAACTGTGTTTGCCTGATGTTTGGTGCTGGACAGGCAGCGTGCAGTGGGTTTTTAGAGCTTCTTTATGCAACCCAAATCACATTACACATGACAATTTGATCCTTTGTTACAGAGCCCGACCGATATTGGATATTTGGGGCGGATGCAGATACCGATATTAGGGATTCAAAAAATTCCGATATTGATATATCAGCCGATATGTGTGTATATATATATATATATATATATATATATATATATACATACACATATATAAACATAAGAACAAATATGTATATATTTATCTAACTTGAATGAAAAGAAAGGATCAAATATACATAAAATGCTGCCTATATAACTTTACTTGACCCAAGCATTTCCACTAAATAAAACTGGCCGTCCGATATATCAGTCAGGCTCTACTTTGTTGATTGAAAAATATTAATTATAGCAGCTTTAAAGAATTATGGCCAACATGTATTGAGTGAATCATTTGACATTTGGTGTCAGTGTCAGTGTTCTCTGGTGGACGAAGTGTGCAATGGTTTCAGTGTTTCTTAACTACATAAAACATATCTTTGGCATTTCTGTACTGCAATATTTTGTTACTTATCAGCCGACATATATGTATATATACGCATGATATATATACGCTGGTCCGGCGGGTCCATTGTCAGTGTGAGGGAGACAGAGATTGCAGGGCAAGGAGCGCCTGAGCGAATCAATGCCCTGTGCACAGCGTACAGTGAAATAAGATTTTATCCATTTGAAGTAGTAAAAAAACATAGAAAATCAATATGTGGTGGTCAATGTTGATATTGAGGTGGGCTGCCACAAATAAATCAATGTATGAGAAAGAAAGTTGTTAAATCAGATGGTTAATTTTTAATCAATATGCAGTTAATCTGATTTGAACTGGTTGAATTTCTGCCACTAAAATGTGAAGCTACTTAGGTTTTTATTTTTTCATTTTAGATATATATAAATTAGATGTAGTTTTTTTTTTTGCCAAATCAGGTTTTCCACATTCTAGCTGCATATTCTTATTGGTGCAGAATAAGCTGTCATTTAAATCTTGTCAGATATAACAGATGTACCGAACGCTGACCTTTTCATTTCTGTTCCAAGTGTCACTCCCACTGATGAATAGAAGTGTTAAATAATGATCTCCTGTCTTCTCTGTGTTTGTATTCTGTAATGTTATTGCACCATAGAGTTAAATATAGTGTTTTTATCCAAAATCCAGCAGATGTCAATAAATGCCCCCCAGAGCTCAACCAAAGGGTGAAGACAAATGTGCATTTAACCCCTCTCATATCTGACTGCACCCCAGCGTACTGCCTGCAGTGAGGGACTTGGAGATTACTTTTTTTATGCAACAGTCAGTCTTACATCAGAATGACTAGTCTCATCAGAGAACTTAAGACCAGTGTGAAACACTTTCATGTACTGTTGGATATGTTGGTAGTGAATGAACACAAATGAACTGTGATAGTTGTGAGTGGGGAAAGTCTTTCCTCTGCTGAGCGGACGTATTTGCGATAATTATTTCCTGTGACTGTTGCCTGATGCAAAAGCTGTTTTTATCTAATCTTAAAACTAACATAAATACATATGAAGTAATGACTCGTGGTTCTGGTTTGGCTTGTTGCACTTGTAATGTGCTGTATGTGTTACATGTTACTGATGTGGCCAACAGGAGCTAAGGGAGCGCGTGCTGAGGGGAAAGTACCGCGTGCCGTTCTATATGTCCACAGACTGTGAGGGGATCCTTCGCCGATTCCTGGTGCTCAACCCCTCCAAACGCTGCACCCTAGAGGTGAGGAGTGGTGAACAGCACAAACATTTATTTTACCTCACATGAAATTTGAACACAGCTGAGGCTTTTCTGTATTTCTGTTTCTACAGCAAGTCATGAAGGACAAGTGGATAAATTCAGGGTATGAGGGGGATGACCTGAAACCCCACATAGAACCTGTTGAGGACTACAGTGATCCAGCTCGCATAGGTCAGTCAGCTGCTATTCTGCAGTCTTTACCAATACAAAACTGATCAGAGTAGTCAAGTTACAAGCTGTTTTGTTGTATCACTGTCTCTTTCTTACCTGTGCTTGTTTGTGTTCTTCAGAGGTGATGGTCGGGATGGGCTTCACTCCAGAGGAAATCAAGGACTCTCTGCTCAATCAGAAATACAATGAGGTCACCGCCACTTACTTACTGCTGGGCCGCAAAGGCGATGTGAGTTATTTAGATCTACCACAGTGTTTAATCATCCATAGTAGCTGTTCAGCAGACTGTCATACCGGAGCAACTCACAATGAGTTAAATAACATTCTGACCTTCTCCTCAATCACCAGTACATGAAAAATTACTTATCAAAAGAGTCTTGTAATATTTTTGAATACTGGTGCCATATGCAGTACTTACCTTACAGTGATGCATTACTTTGACGAATAAGTTTCTTTTTTCAAATTTGTTTTAATATATCAAAAAAAATTTACCTTTTAAACGCAAGATGGTTTAATATTATTTTAAGGGTCCCATATTTTACACTTTTAGAGTGTTTTATTTGTGTTGATCCATAAGAAGATATATTTGCTATTTTAAGAACCAAAAACCATCTCAGTGTAGTTTTAAGTCTCCTCTTGCAGGCTTCTCTCTGGAGCTCTAGCAACAACAGGCCTTTTTGTTTTGTCATCGCAAAGTTAACAAAGTCCTGATGGCTCGTTTTAAGGCACAGTTCCTGAGTTGTGTGCATTTCTCTCTGGACTAAGAACTTTGATACTTTTACAGTAATTATGATTTGATTTATAATTTAATATAGAACCTAGACTTGCTTTATAATAAAAAAAAAGACATGGAAATCTCACTTTATACAATATGGGACCTTCTGGGAATTTCTGCACTGCATACCTCCACACTTTCTTTCTATATCTTCAACATGTTTGTTTAATGGATCACCAACTTTTTTTTATAGCTCTTACTCTCCTTTCCACAAGTAATATTATTAGATAATAATTCTAACTTGAACTTGACCATGTCTCTGAGAAAACTATGGCTAGCTGGATGTACTACAGACATAAGTTTGATGGGAACCGCCACATCCTCTCGCTCTATCAGGGTTGTGGTGCATGTATAGATATATTGATAATGGCGTTATCTGGCTATGATCTCTAGGCTAAATCAGGAGCTGCAGGGAATGTGACCAAACATTTAATACCAACTTAATACCAATTTTGGTGCTTGACAGTTTTTGAAACTCAATGCCATAGTCAAATTTTGGTCAATTCTCAAAAAGCCCCAAGGTTCGATACCCAACCCCGCTTATCAGAGACTCATTCATCCTTCTCTTTATGCTACTCAGCTTATCAAGCGTCATATTGGCTCACAGTTCTCTATCCAATATGACTATAACATTACAGGAAGGCAGTGAGGCTCGCACAGCTAGTAGCCTGTCCCTGGCGAGGGTACGACCCAGCCCCATCACCAACGGGACCAACAAGCACTCCTCAGCCACTGGCTCCTCTTCCTCTTCCACCTCCTCCTCACATAGCAAGACCCAGCGCAGTGCCTCCACTTACCACAGGCAGCGACGACACAGTGACTTCTGTGAGTCTCTTCTCTAACTTCTTCATTCTTCAGGCGTTACAGTTACGGATAAGGAATAAAATTCTATCAGAGCTACAGCAAATCCATGCAGTTTTCATCTTAAATAAATAGTGCTTCTTATACTGTCTGCAATTCAAACAACTGATAATATTGCTTTAACTTGCTTTAATGATTTGTAATGAAAACTTCAGAATGTGAAACAATATAAATGTATCAATCGTGTTTTATCACCAGTGTGTGAACGGGTTGCAGTGACATTTGTGCCCGCTGCCGAGTGCCTTGCCTCAATGCCTCTCTCCCACTCTCCTACAGCACCAACAATGTGCAACACTAGCTAATATTAGCTTAGAAATCGAATCCACTAACAAATGACCGGCTCCCAGCACAACACAGACTCCAATACAAACTTCATGTAAACATGTCATCTAGTGCATCCCATCTGATCAAATATGACCGACGTCAGGGGGAAAACTAGGGTCAACATCAGCTGATAATGATATTAAGCTTTATACATCCTGTTAGACATTAGACAAACTACCTCTCCATACTTTGTTTTAGTTAAATGTGGTCTAAAATATAATTTATAATTAAACTATGATAACATTGTAACTTTAGCTACATCATCTATCAGTGTGATGCTGGTCAATCATGTTCAGTCTTATAGTCGGACTGGCCATCTGCTGGGATAAATCCTGGTGGGATGCTGCCTCGGTGGACTGTCAGAAAATCTATGATTGTCCCTGTCTGTGCGCCTGTCATTCAGGGTGCACATGAGAGTACACCACGGGCATGTTCCAGCGAATAAGTCCAGGGCATCATGCTGCTAATGCAACTCCACATGGTGTAGGAGTGAAAGAAAGATAGACTGATCCTACTTCTCCTCCTGGGAATCCTTGAATTGGCACTATCCAAAGGCCATACAGGGCTGAGTTTCTTTCCCAGGCTGACCAACACATCACTGTTTTGGCCGATTCCCTCCCTCACTCGTACCTACCTATGGAGTGTGAGCACGAGCACAAGCAACAGGATGCTGACTGCAGTTCACTTAATAGCCACCAGGGTTAGAGTTAATAGCAAGGGTTTTCTGAATGTTACATATAACCACTTCCATCTTGCATAATTCATTGTTTTTGCAGAATACTCCTTATATGAGTCTCTGTGTGTCTGTGCTCTGCTGTCCTCCACAACAAAGGTGGGCCTTCCATGCCCGTCATGCACCCCAAACGGAGCCCAACCAGCACGGGCGACCGGGAGCTGCGGGAGGGACGAATGCCTTCACGTAAGGCCAGTTGCAGCGTGATGGGGAGCCACAGCCTCCCTCCCTCCAGCCCAATGGTCAGCAGTGCCAACAACCCCAACAAGTCTGAGATCCCAGACCGCCGCAAAGACATGACTGCCACCACAGTAAGTGACACATTTCCTTCTTAAGTAGGGAAGAGACAGTGTCTTTCAAATGATGTTGATTGATGATTCTGTTGGCATTAAACTTAAGGGGCCCAGGCCACCAGGGCCCCTGAGCTTTGAAACAACTAAGCTGCAGAAATTTGGCTTTGGTGTCAACCCTGACACAGTTTGCCACCAACATCATACCACTTATTCTCAGGAGTCATAACTGAAACACACAGACTTTATAACCACAGTGTAATCAGCAGTGAAATCATAATCCAATGTACAGCGAGAATAAATACAGATCTTTGCTCATCGTCCTCAGATTCAGTCTTTCTTCAGTATCAAAGTTATCCAACTGGCTGTTGCCTGTACAGTGTGAATAGGAACTGTCAGACAAAGGCAGCAGGACCTTCCATTATACAGATTTGCCAGAATATAAACAAAAACACAGGGGTGTAGATAGTTTAAAGTTCAGCTGTCAGACATCCAAAGAGGTTCATCCTCACCGTTTCACCAGATGTGTTGTGCGGTGCAGGATAAAACGTGGCAGATGTTGCATGTGTGTTATTTTCTCCTCATAATCAGATATTGAAGCATGACACTTGACAGCAGACAGACTCTGACAAGCTCAAGTGAGGGATCATCACAGAAATGCACTGAAATGGCAAATGGAGCTTTTAAGATTTTTGTCATTAGCTTTCTTATTTTTTCATTTTTTTCATTTTTCCCATGAGCTAACTGATGCATTGACATGCTCATTTTTAAGCTATGTCATATGGCCCAGTGAGCTCACTTTTTTTTATCTCTTTCTCATTTTCTCATCACAGTCAGTTCATACTAACTTAATATTCACCTGGGCTTCCTCCCATTACATTCACAACCTCCAGTTTTTGTCAAAAAAATCATGCAGTTCAGACTTGTATTTTGCCATTGTTAAATATTTCTCATATATTTTTAACTTAGGGTTCAAATACAAGTCGTGCTTTATTATTTGATTCATGTTTAAAACATTGAAATGTAATTTTGTATATTTCATGATAAGTTACACATATACATGTATGTATGAGAAGTGTAATTGGCAGTAGAAAATGAATAAACAGAAAATGAAAGAGTCTAGATGATTTCTTCTGTAGATCCCATCCACTCCTCGTACAGACCCATGTAAAGATACTATTGTGGATTAAACAGAAATAGATACAGATGCAGAATATAGTAACATTGCTAATATCACTTTTTAAATATTCTGAGACATAGTGCTTGAGTGTGGTGAATGTGACACTAGAATAATGTGGATTTCTCTGCACTGAATGCCAAAATGACTCAACATCTTCCTCTCACCTTATTCTTCTCTCTGTAGAATAACATCCCTGGAAGCGCCATGACACGCCGGAATACATACGTGTGCACAGACCGCTCAGGCGCTGACAGACACTCTCTCCTGCAGAATGGCAAAGACAACAGGTAACACTTAGTGTTGAAGGTTTCAATATTTATAGTAGTTCAGATTTTTCATAGATAGCATGTTATACTTCAAGCGAGTGTACCAGCACAAATCATGTGGATCTATGGTGAAATGTTAACATACTGTAAAGACAAAAATCGTGACAGGTAGGCACGTGTGTGTGTGTGCGTGTGTGTGTGTGTGTGTGTGTGTGTGTCTGTGTGTGTGTGTGTGTGTGTGTGTGTGTGTGTTTGGAGAAAGCCAACCTTTGGTTCAGTGGTTATGGTTAGGGTTAGGGTAAGTCTCCAGGAAATGAATGCAAGGCCATGTAATGTCCTCAAAAGTGACAGAAGTGTTTGTGTGATGAGCCAACAAAGGCATATAGCTACAGGCCAGATATTGTGCTGAATAGAGATTGTAGCTGTTTTGTATACTGGTATGTGATCAGTGATTGGATTTCAAATGTGTTGTAGGAACAGTTGAAAACAGGGTCTAACTGAAAAAATGAAAAAAATGTACAGTACTGAGTATATTTGAAATGTTTTTGTTTGAATAAAGGTAAATCTAGATGGAAATATGGTCAAATATTTAAATATTTATAATAATACAACATCTCAGACAAAGGAAGTGGACTAATTTAATTATTATTGTTTATTTATAATAAACTGTTATTATTATTATCAACAATGATCTAATGGACACATGAATTTCCCCTAGGGGATAAATAAAGTATCTATCTATCTGTCTATCTATCTATCTATCTATCTATCTATCTATCTATCTATCTATCTATCTATCTATCGATGCCACAAACCAAGAGATAATGTCGTTTTTATTCCACACTTCATCCTTTTCAAAATGGGGTGCCTACATTACCTACAATGCAACTCAACCGCTCACAGTTATGCTAGTAGCGGCTAATGTAGCCTTGATCCTTCAGCCACATGCAGATATGAGGAGCAGGCTACAGAGGCCTGATTCATTCACTCCCCCCAGATTTTTTACTTGATGCTGAAGGATTTTTATCAAATGAAATGATGAATAGAAGTGGTTTGCTCATTGCTAACTTAAGACAAAATCATTTCTCTTCTTCTCTGCAGCTCCTTGGGCCACCGCATGCCTGCAGCTTCTCCCTCCACGCTCAGTATTGCCGGGGCCGGAGCTGCCTCCTCCTCTTCTTCTTCGGATCGATGCCGCCTGACCCGAGGCTCCACAATTCGCAGCACCTTTCATGGGGGACAGCTGAGGGACCGTGGGCCCCCAGTTTACTCAGCCCCACCCACATCACCCACTCTGTCCCACCATGATGCCAGCCCCCTGCCCCACGCCCGCACCAGGGCAACCTCCAACCTCTTCACCAAGCTGACCTCGAAACTCACTCGCAGGTAGATGTACACTTCATATCACATATCACATCGGCAGGCCCAGGTCATGTTTGTGAACAGCGCACTCTAAACACCAGAAACACACAGCGTAAAGACTGGAGGTTTTTTTCTTTAATGCAGAAAGAAAGAAACCAAAGCGTAAAAGGACAAGCTGTAGTTTTACAGGATTATGTGCTTTACGCTAAGCTAGCAGTCTCCTGTTGGCTATTTACTGAACTACTTAATTATTAATACGTTTATTTGTTTATTTTTTTACGCTTTGAGTCTATTTAGCAGGGAACTTCATTTCATTTAGACAAGATTTCACTATGTTTAGATACGAAGATCAATACCACTATCACATCTGTGCACTTTGGATAGAGCCAGGCTGGCTGTTTCCTGCTGGTTCCAATCAGATTCCAAATTAAATTTCTGGCCCAATATATGCCTGGGTCCTCGGCCCAAGTCTGGCCCATATACTTCCGCATCTGGGCAGAGTCTGGCTGCTATCCACCGGTATTGACTGACAGCTGGAAGATTTTCTGTGTGTGCGTTCACAATTGGTCCAGATGTGGAAGTAGCTTCTTACATTCATGCTGTATATAGATTCAGATTCAGATCCATGGAACTGGGCGTATACTGGGCGAGAAGAAAACAAGCATGTCGCCAAAGTATGGGCCGGATAAATTTTGTTGTGGCTAAGTTAACATCCTCTTTGATGCAGCTTCATATTTAGACATGACAGTGGTATTTATCTTCTTATGTAACTCCCGGTAAGAATGAGTAATATTTTCCAGTTTCCATAGTCAAACTATTCCCTTAACTACAGATGTCATGAGTTTAAGTTATAGTGTCGTGGCTGGAATTTAAAGGTTTTTAGTTATATTTCTCAATCTGTTTGACCCCCAACCTCCAAATTTTCTTTCCTTTGGACAAGATATTATCAGTTGCTACAATTCTTCCTACCTCTGTACACTCTGCGTAGCTTCCATTTTATTACTGGTTCCCACATGCTCTTACATGGTCCAAGGGACACCAGGGCTCTGATGCATTCTTTATTTTTAGTAGCCTCTAATTTTCACAATTTAGCATTTGAGGCTTGGTTTGCCATCGGGGATAGTGTAAGATTCACTTAAAATCCCATCAGATATATGAAATGACTGTTGCTTTGTTGTTGTGAAGTTCTGCCTATCAGCCTGGGCAGAGCAGAGTGTGGATCCATGCTTATCAGAACATTTTATTCACCCAGGCCTTTTGGCAAGCCCTTCTGTGGCCCTGGATTATCCTCTGCTCCCCTCTCCCTCCCAGTCGTCATAATCACACATGTCTAATCTTATCAAACCTCAGCTTTATCCTTGCCAATCAGCTCCTGCGCTGCGCTCTTTTTCACCACTTGCTCTCCTGTGATTCAATTATCTTCTCTCTTACCCCCCAACCCCAACTCCCCACCCCCACCCAACCCCTTGCTCTTACCCTGTATTCTCCATCTTTATCTTGTTCTGCTTTCCCCTGTCATGGCATCAGGGTCAACCTTGACCCGTCCAAGCGCCAGGGCTCAAACAAATCAGTCTCGGGTTGTACTCTTCCACAAGGATCAAAAACAGTTAGTAAGTTCCCATGTCTCGCTTCTTTTTTGTCTACCTGTTCTGCCCCATCTGTCTGCCTGGTCATGCGGGAATTTGCTCCAGTCCATGAATGCCTGCTATCTCTATTTATGAATTATTGCTTGTCTGCATGACTTGTTAATCATCTTGATATCGTCGAGGTCTCACACACTTGGTTTCAAGCATGGTTGCAATCAAGGAAAAGTTCATTTGACTTTTGTTTTTAGCCTTCAGTTTCAGGATCAGTGTGTCATTGTCAGCAGAGATTGACTAGTCTTTTACTGTATTTTCACCCTGAACATACCCTTAGAAATGGTGTTTTATGTTTTCATTTTGTATTTGTGGTTGATGGGATAAAACTCATTGTATGTTTATCTCACATGTTGTCGGGAACGATGGATGGGATTGTGTTGTACCACACACAAACATGATTAAAAGTCAAAGGATTGCATTATATCTGCATGCTGTAAAAGTTGTAACTGAAAAAACGGGAAAGTGCATTCCTGTAAGTGGGGGATGGGGCACACTGTTCTACACATCACGTGCTTCTTGTTGTTGATGCTTGCTTGGTCTTACTGTATAATATCCACTGCTGAATGCCATCTCATCTGAGAGTTGTGCGTTGGTCATTGTAATACAGTGGATTACCTCCAACGCTGCCCGTTTGTCTTACAGGGTCACAAATGAATCTGAGGGAATCAGGAGATTTGCGGTCACAAGGTCAGTACATGTGTTGCAGTTGCATTGACTGCACTTATGAACTGGATTATGAGACCAGTAGTCTGAGCTATGGTTCAACGAATTTTTCTGCTTTTCCTGCCTTTTCCCTAGTTGCCATTTACCTGGGTATCAAAAAGCGCCCGAGCCCCGGGCCGTCGGACGTGGCTGGGATCTGAGAGGTGGTGGGCGGCGGGACCCTGCAGAGGTGGTACTGGCTCTGCGGGAGGCGGCGCTCGGGTGTGGCTGCCAGGTCCACCATGCCGGCCCCTTTCTGCTCTCCTGTACCCACGGCGTGGCAGGGGGCCGCGTGGCTTTCGAGGCCGAGGTGTGCCATCTTTCCACGGGCAACTCCGAGACTTCTAATGGGGTGCGCTACACGCGACTCTGGGGGGCACCGCTAGCTTTTCGGGACATTGCCACCCAAATCTCTAAGGACCTTGAACTTTGAACAGAGGGTGTGTTTGCGTACGAGTGTGTGTTTTTGTGTGAGTGAGTGTTGATGTGTGTGTGTGTGCAAACAGAGAGGGGTGGAAATAATTGAAGAAAAAAAAAATGGAGGGGCTGGACCCGAGAGAATAGACTTCTCCTTCTGTCTCTTTCATGACTACCCCCACCTTGCGCAAACACACACACACATACACACACAGATGCACACACACACCTGACCCGTAAAGTCACATAGACTGAGGCACCCCCTCTCCACCCAATCACCCCACCAAGCTCAGCCAACGTCTTCACTGAGCTACTGCACCCACTGGACCTGGATCAGACGGAACCTAGTTGAATATTTTTTATTGCTACTCTAGCCATAATGACTCTTTATTTTGTTATTTATTGCTCTGATCATTGTTTTTACCCACTGTCACTTTCACCGCCACAGAAACGCATCATCTCTTGTGTACTGGACGTCATTGACAAGCCAGTCCTTTTTTTAAATTGTTCTTTTATATGTCACCGTTACATACACTGGTCATTTTTTTTCTCCTCACGACGAATTATCTGCTGACTTCTCATCACCTGGGGACAGTAACGGGCACAAACGCGGAGATGGTCAGAATCAGTGATAAGACGAGCAGCCGCTGAGGGTTGCATCGCTGTGATTCGTGTACATACAGCACTGATGACTGCACTGGATTAAGGTCAGTGGGAGCAGGGTTGACAGGCCTTTGAAGCAGCCAATCAGAGGCTGGCATGAAGCACAAAAAACAATCAGAGGCTGACTCTGACACTAATGAGCCAGTGACATCTTGAACTTGATGAACTATTGGAGTTGTCGCCTCTCAATCACATTAGCTTCTCTGCATGAGATGAGCAGAAATGAAAATGTAGATAAAATTTAGTGAGATATGAACCTCTTGGTTTCATGCATCAAAAAGAGGAAGACTCTTAGATTCATCTTGCATGAATATCAAAATTAAATCAATACAGCTGATTTGGTTAAAGTATTATAAGGTTATAGAACTTACCATACCATAATTTTCATATAAGTTTCCTATACTGGCTGTTTCAGAGAATGAAATGGACTTGAGGTACCCACAAGGACAACATGCACATTACATGCTGCTCTCTGATTGGTTGGATTCATTGCCTGTCAGCGCTGGTCAACGGCATTTGGATTTTCCATCCTTCCCACTTCGTTTCATCCCCTTACCTTTCTTCAAAAGCATCGCACTGAAGGCACAGCAGCAGCAGCGACACATACCTGAGAAACTCTGTCTAACTCAAAGCCCCAGAGCGTTGAAATCTTTCAAGGCAATTAAAGCGAGGCTGAGCTACAAATGTCATCCAAAACATCCCACCACAGAATAAGAGACACTGTAATTCTGGTGTATTTTCAGTGCAATGCAGTTCTTTGGTTCTATTTTGTGCCATGTGATCTCACCTCAGTCATCACGTCAGTATGTCGATGGGAAACACCAAAAGTGGATCAGCCAAGCAGTGAAACCTCTCAGATTACACATTCACCTTTACACACATAGAGAAACACACACTTCCGAGTGTCCACCCTCTTCTTGTTGTGGCACGCAGTATATAAACTGGTCTGTCCATCGTTGATGACTGTGGGGATCAGGGGGGGAGTGTTCTGGATCTGGAAAAGGCACGATGAAGGCAGTGTGGACGGTATTTTCTTCTGTTTAGTCCGTTGCCTTTAAAGTGAACAACCCCCAGCGCCTTCATACAGTACATATTTAATGTAAAAAAAAAAAAAAAAAAAGAAAAAAAGAAACTGAAAAAAACTGAGAAAGCTTTCTATTCTCCCTCCCTGTTTTTAGTGAATAACATACTGTGGTATTTACGTAGGCTACAGAGATCATGTTGTTTGGCTGCTAATTTACTGTTAATACTATCTCTCAGTTGTGGCTTTGCTCACAGTGGCCCAAAACATCCCCCTGCCCCACCCCCATTTCCTTTCCCCACCCATGATAAACTCTCCAACTCCCTAAATTTAACAGGGATGCCATCCTGACCTGTCCACACACATATGTACCACCAACTTTTTTCTATTGTCACAATGAGCGTTTGGCTTTCCTCGGCTCTTTGTTTGAGTCCCTGTTTTCTCACAGGAAGACACTCCGCCATCATCCACACTCTCACGTCGTAGACCCATGTATGGCATCTTCTCAGTCCTGTTTGGTGTGTGCTGTTTCACCGAGCCCGACTGGGGAAGGCTGGTTTTGACCTGTCCTTCCCCTCAGGGTGAGAAGCAGAAACCAATAAGGGCACCAGGAGTCTGTCCTTGTCCTCTCCCTGGACGTTACTCATTGTGGTGTATATTAGCATTAGGTAATATAGACCTCAATGCACTTTGCTTTGACTTGAATCAGCTCCTTCCAGTGTACCTGTATAGGTAATACCCAGAACTAGCCACTGGAGGGCGCCAATGTCTTAAATGTGAAACACTTCAATTTGTGGATATTTGCACAGGTACTTTATTTATTTTTTAGAATAATATCATTAAAAAAAACAGGATTTATATCAGTCAGTTGATGGCTGTATATAAAATATATGAATATAGTATATATCTTAGAGCTCAAGGTTTATTTATAGCTAGAGCAAGGGAAGTAATTCTAGTTTAAAGCAGTTTCTGTCAGTGACAATGGGGAACAAAACCAACCTGCAATCCTGCATGACTTCAGAGTTTGGGTTTTAGGGTAAAAAATGAAACATGATGCACACCTAGGATTGGAAGCTTTGTGAAATGCAGACACAGTAAATTTTTAGACAAAGAAAATGGTGCTAGATGCAGCACCAGGTCCTTCCCCCCTTTCACAAAAACAAACAGGACGGTTTGGGTGAAGCACAGTGACTTCACTCCACCTTGTTTGCTAGAGGATAGGTTCAGTACATTCAAGAGGGCTTCTGAGATCGTAGAAGTATTTAGATATGCCATGAAATGTACCACAACATACAGTGTGTAAGAGAAGTATTGTTTTAGATCCAGCAAGGACATTGGGAATAAATTGTGCAATTTTGATTGCCAGTTCTATTTTAACTTGAATTTACAGTGAGTCCCTGACATGTCAAAAGCCCTGGGTTGCATTCAAGCCATAGAAACGTTATGTCAATGTCTCCTGATTGCAAATATGAATCAGGTTGTTTGCAAAGCATTTCAGTGGAAACTATTGACGTGAAACAGACTGAAAAGCAAATAGCTTAGTATAAAACAACTCACTCCTCGCATAAGAAGGATGAACATTGTCTTAAGGTGGAAACTACTGTGAAACATGGAGTTTTTTTTTGACCTGAGTGTTGAGTAAATGCTTGTGTACCTGCACAGAGACAGTGTGTCACTGGTCTGGTTCAGATGGTGGATGGTACAGTATTACAACCCCAGGGGGCTCAGTATTTAACATGCACTGTCATTTCAAAACTGATTTTGGAAACAGTTGATGTTATATGCAAAAGAGACAGAATGACACACAGTTTGACCTGTATGAGTAATTTTACATTGCTCCACTGTTTAATTCCTCCCCTCAGAAACAAACTGTAAACTGAGATTGCGTGATTCTGGTATAAAAGGAGAACATGGAGCTGAAGATTAATAAAATTCACTGATGTTGGCATTTTTCTGTGTCTTGTTTTGATAGTTATGGCACACTATCTGAATATTTGTCAGTGGTTTTCTGATCATCTGACAAGGTGAGTGTTAATATGTATGTGGAGATTATATTTGCTAACATCACAATATAGTTAATAGCTTTGACCTTTTGTGATACCCAGTTTCTCATGCTGCAACAAAAAAAGACCAAAATATTTCATTTAGTTGTTTCATGGGGCACGTTTTTATTGAACAGTATACACAGCTTCAATAATTGTTACTCTTCATAACAAAAAGTAGGTGATGCCACATCTGCCAGGCGAGCCCAGCTCAGTGGAGGCTGATCCCAGGATGTTACCAACCAACTCAGGAGAACGTGAAAAAAAAAAGAACGAAGGACAGAGAAAAGAAAAAAAAAAGCTGGAAGGAGGAAAATGAGGTGAGCAGAGTCAAGAGTCTCTTGGTGAGCAGCTGTTTCCTCTGCATGCCCGTCAGCTGACTTGATTGCACATAAATGGTCACGAGAAAAACATAAGATTGTCCCGCTTTACTTCTGGGCAGGGATCATGCTGTCAATGGCCTCTCCCTTCTCCAGCTTCTTCTCCATCTCAACCATGAGCTTGACACCATCAACCACCAGCTGGACCTGTTCCACCTCGGAGGAGCCCAGACGGTCGGCGTTGGAGATGTCGAACACACCTCCCACGGAGGCAGTGTCCACACCACCTAAAGAGGACCGAGGACAGGGAGTGAAGTACAGCTCAGAATGCTGTTGAGTCTCTGCAGAGATGTTCATGGACCGACCAGGCTGATCTAAAGGTGTAAAAGCTAGAGAGTGTGCGTGTGCATACCTGTGCCACGCTTCTGCAGACGCAGCCTGGTGAGGATCTCATCGAACTTGGCATGTGTGCTCAGCTTGGGCAGCTTGACGTGGACACCACCACGCAGGCCAGTGCCCAGGTTGGAGGGGCAGGTCAGGATGTAGCCGAGATGCTCGTTCCACATGAAGCCGTGGTTGTGCTTCTTGAAGATGGCCTCAATCTGGCAGATAAGAAAGAAGGAGAGTCAGAGAAAGATCCATCAGCAATGCAGACTGCTTTCACTAAGTCAAATCATGTGTTGACTTGTTATCAATGTGTTACCTTCTGCAGGCCAGTGCAGAAGCGCTTGAAGACCTCCCTCATGTTGCCACCCTTCTGCATGGAGATGACACGCAGGTGATCCTCCTCGTTCACCCAGACCAGGAAGGTCTTGTTGTCGTTGTGCCTGGATGGAGATGGATGCAAAGCGTCAACATAAAACACAGGCAATACAGAAACATAATGAAAGTGTAAATACCACACAGTTTTGAAAAGTGTTTCCACAGTTCGACTGCTGACAAGAAGGCATCATACTCACATGATGCCTCTGCCATCGGGCCAGTCACGGGCCATACCGGCGCAGGTCAGCAGGGGAGAGACAGGCTTGTCAAACAGGAAGTGATCATTGATCAGCTGCTCCTGCTCGGCATCAGTCATGGACTTCAGGGGGTAGTACTTTCCCTTGAACTCACCATCCAGGCTGGTCAGAGCTGCAGAGATAGTTGTAGTGTTAGGCGATTATTCTGTGATTGTACAGATTTCAACAGGAACTTTGAGGCAGTGGGACCATTTACACTGATTCAGCATAAAACCAACAAGCAGAGTGTTTCCTTGTTGAGTTCATTAGTGTATATTCCACCTCTTATCCTTAAATGACAGTTTCCATTCTGTAGGAAAAGACCTATAGTTTGGCATTAGCTTACTGCCCAACCTTATGTGCCCATGTTATTTCTGGCTTACCCTCAACGGACAGCCTCTCAATAGCTCTGCGCTCGCCGCGGCTGTTGTGGGGGGGCAGGGTGAATCCCTTGATGCTACGGCCAGTACGAACACGGCTGGACAGAACATAGTTGGGGTCCAGATCATCACCACCCTGAAAACAAAATTATGAAGTTTGATTACAAAGACAAGTCCACAAATTTAAGGAACTAAGTATCATCATCCGATTAGTTAGACAGTAAGTTTTCTCTCATTTATTCTAAGTTTCTGAGGAGCTTTACTTAATGAAACAAGGCACTTTCTGTTCTTTGTTGAGTACTGCACCTTCAGGTTCTCGAAGTTCAGGTCGGTCTTGTGCTTGTCAGTGGCCTTGTATCCACCATGACGGTCGGAGATGACGGGGTCCAGCAGACCCTTGAAGACCTCATAGGACTCCTCATCACCAGCAACGCAGCCAACAGTCATGATGAAGGGGTGACCTGAAGACGGGGAGCAAGAAGGAAGGGAGGAATTAGAAAATGGGTCAGAAGATGAGAGCTTCTGTGTAGTGTGATGCTGATAATGAGTATTTAATTACATGATTTTATTCACAGCCAAAACTAAAACTGTGTCCGAATGATTTTATGAACATAAATTGAAATGTCTCTCTGGGCCTCACCGGGGTTGTCAACACCAGTCTGGATGACATCATCCAAGGTGTAGCCACTGGGTGTCTGCTTGTCCCTCATCTTGCCATACAGCTCCTTGGTCAGGACCTTGGCCATATGGTTGTTGTGCTTGGACAGGTCAGGGAACTCCTCCTCAACTTTGTAGTTGAGTTTGAAGTTGTTGTGGGTGTTTCCGAAAGGCATGATTGCTTTCTAACACTGCAAAGAGAGGGAAACACAGGATAAACAAACTTAATATGAGGCTGATAAAAAAACAGTTCATCCTGATTTGACAGCATCTGTGAAGCTGATCTGAATATCCACAACTTTTCCTCAGCATTTGGAGATATAGGATATTCTGCAAGACAGCTGCAGAGTTTAAATGGTGTCAGCAGAGGAATCCTGGTAACAAGTGTCGCTCGATTCTCAACAGCTCAAATGTCCATTTGAAATAGAGAAGGGGGAGGAGCGCATGTTGGCTGGGTATTTATAGCATCAGCACATCTGACTGTAAACACTTTCTTTAAAATGTCTTCAGCAAATACACAACATTTCAACTCTCTTGGCACGCACACAACCCCAGTACTCCGGTTTACATGTTGACACAGAAATACACATGACAAAGTCTTTGCTGGTCATGTTCTACATACATTTGCCTGTAGAAAACACTCATGAATCACTCTGTATCACCGCTCGACCAAAAGGATCAAACACTTACTGCATCACTTAAAATTGTCACTATGCTGAGTGCCTGACTGACAAGCTACAGATGGTTTCCTTCACTCCATCTGCCATGATCTAGCAAGATCCCTTAACTTCTAATTATCTATAGGTATGTACGTATTGCCTTTCTCAATTTGTTTGCCTTGATAGGCTGTTCAACTGAGTAATAAAAAAATGATGCACGCAGTAACACACTTGTTACATCACATGAAACGTGATCTTTAGTGAACTACAGTATGATATTTTGGTAATAAACCATATTGGTTTATAAAATTCACATTTTTGATGCAGTAATCGCTTTGCTGAGAACAAATATCTTGTTAGCTTAAAGCTAAAAAATCCATCTTAAAAGTGTAACTCTTAAATCAGTTACAGGACATTCAGGGCCTTCAGGCAATATCTCTTACATGTATCAAACTGTGAACCACCTGTCTGCATAAATAACTGTCCAAATGAGATAACCATTAGCAGAGAGCAAGAATATATGTTAATACAAGTTAACAATGCAACACCATTGCTGCTACTGCTATGTTAAAACAACATACTCGTGCTCATTTTCCCTTAACTGAAAATAATCTGACAAAATTCAATGACCTCTGATACCAGTAGCTCTCCTTTTGCAGATAATGCATCATATGGATTCAGACATCCCATGATTGTTGTGTATTTATCCTTTGATTTCTTCGTGGACAAAAAGCTGCCAAAAATAGTTAAATCTTTGCCGTTCTAAATGTTTAGATGGTTCTCCAAATCCACATATGTCTCCATATATCTGCTCCTCATTCTTCTAACTCCACAAACTAATCATCGCTGTGATAATTCTTTACCTGCACACCAGACAAGAACAGAGGTAACAGTCCTTGGGATCAGATCCTGTTCACCACAGCCAAAATAGGGGTCACCCAACTCTGGAGGTCTCTGCTCCCTGTTTATATACCAGGCAAACACTCAGCCATTGGCTTGGCCATTTTAGTGCCTACTGTGCCCTCATTGGCCAGAGCCTCTTTACTGATACTCTGACCAGTTGTGAAAGAGACGCATTTACATCTCAGTCATCCAAGACGGGTACTGCAGCTGCACCCTCACCACCCCTCACCCACCCTTGGCCCATACATAGCACCAGTTGGACGGTAGGAGTATCCAAGAGGGGAAGGGAGGAGGGGGTCACAAAGGTGGATGAGGGGTGTGTTGGGGGCAATTGAAGCAACTGAAAAAAGCTGAGCTTTACTTTTGCCAAACATGCCATGGAGATCAGGAGTCTTTGTGTCAGGTGCAAAGGTTGGTATTTTTTTAACTCATCAAATATGGCTGCCATGTAGAAATGTTAATAATAATAATAATAATACATTTGATTTATAATCGCCTTTCAGGACACCCACAGGCACTTTACAGAGCAAATAAAAACATTTAGAAGCACAAACAAGATAGACAATGTATAAATGAATAATGAAATATACACAATATACATATATATATATATATATACAGTATATATATACATGTGTGTATATATATATATATATATATATATATAAATACACATACACATGCACACATGTACATGCATTTACACATGCATATACACAAACATACACATGTGTGTACTCATAAACACAAATAATAAAGCAACAATTCAACAAGGGCAAACTGTACATCTCACAGAGCACCAAATGCTTCTATGTTGTCCAAAGAAGCATTTTATCCATCAGATCGTAGTCAGATTTTTCTCTGACTGCTTTCTGGATCAAGGGAATGCTGAATTTCCTAAAATAAAATGTTAAAGGTTTGATCCTTAACAACAAGTAACGCCCCCTAAAGACAGGGAAATTTTGCACCATGACTTGATATAATCAGCAGCGGCAGCTTGTCAGGTTACAATTGTTGCTCTTGGGATGGCAGTGGTCTGTTGATCAGTCGGTCCACCGTTCTGGTCCAGACCAGAATATCTCAATTAACTAGATTACTATATGAATTGCCATGAAATTATATACAGATACTAACGGTCCCAGGTGAACCGTTGACTTTTCCTCTACCACCATTATGTTGACTTTTGTGATTTTACCTGAACCCAAGAACTATTGGATGGATTGCCATAAAATTTGGTACACACATAAATGTACCCCTGGATAATTTGTAGTAATTTTTGTGATCTCTTAACCTTGAATAATGGCCCACCATCTGGTCAAAATTTCAGTCTGTCCAATACTTTGACCATGACTCTGACCAAGCACGTGTAAAACTGCATCAGCTTCAGTTGTACTTTGTTTTGTGCTAATTAGCAAATATCAGCATGCAAACATTCACTGTGCACATGTTAGCATGCTAATGTTAGCATTTAGCTTAAAGCACCACTGTACCTCGCAGAGCATCACAGAGCCATTAGCGAGGCTTCAAATGACAAAACCAGAATAGCGTGAAGATTTTTATTTTATGACTTGCAGGTTTATACTGTAATCTATACTGTAAATTAGAAAAAATTAAAAATAAAATAATGCCTATTTCCAAACATGGAACCAATTTCTCATACCTACCCAAACACCTAAAAGATAAAAGAAAATGTACAGTTCTGAGTACAAAACATACATACAGCATACATGAAAATTGATGTACCCACACTTCATCCTTTCACTTATGTATTTTTAAAAGATATATACAGTACATGCCATGCTTTGGGAAAAAACAATTCTGTCCTTTTCATCATATATTCTTGAAAAAGTAGAATTTTGTAATTTTAAGAGGCTGCATAACCAGACTTATATCACTTATATCACTTTTTGGGGTGTTGCTTTGTATGCCATCAAAAAATACCATAGAGATGAATGCACATTTCTTTTGTATTGGATAGCTTTAGGTTGTGGAGATGTTGTTGCTATGTTCACCCCCCATATGTTGACCTACCAAGGAAACTATCTCAGACCAGCCATCTCTCAGTGATGGCTAATTGATATGCCAGTTATCAGACATCAAATCCTTGATAGGAATACTGACTGTCAGATGGAATGTTTAGGATGAAAGGCAATGCCATCTTTGACACATTAGCCTCATTAGCTCCCATCTTTAATACTGTGCTCTCTCAAATGTCTTGCACTATTTTACCAATGCTTATGCTCTGCAACTGCTTTCTGCATCATTTTAATAAAGTTGTCTGGAAGAATTGAAAGAGATTTGTAAGTTGCAGTGTTGTCAGGGATTTTGTTTTTGCCTTGGTTGATGGTTTCCAGTCAAGCTGGGCCTTATTATTTTAAAACCTCAATCTGTAATTCAAATTTAAAAAGTACCCCCCCCTCTACTAATATTCAAAACTGAGGTTTGGAAGCTGCTGCAAACCCAAACGCTCTCAAATTAATTGACAGGCCTGTTACAGAGATAAACGAAAGACTAAAGCTATATCTACATAATTAACATTAAATTATTTAATTATAGACTCATTTAGACTGGTAATGTAAAATACAGAAAAACAGGTTCTCAACCCGTGTTTACCCCACAGGAATCCATATCAATGAATTTGAATGCATGAATTTCTAGACAAGCTACATTAACCCCATTTTTTCAGGGCACCACACTAGTTTCCCATCATCCATTAGGTATACCGTTTATCCTTTGAGGGTTGTGGAGGGCTGGAGCCAATCCCAGCTGATGTTGGGTGAGAGGCAGGGTTAAATCCAATCCAGTCAAGTCCAGTCTGACATATGACAGGACTGACATATGGAGACAAACAACTATTCGCACCTATGGGCATTTTAGAGCCTCCAATTAATTTAGTCTTTGGACTGTGGGAGTCTCGGAGGAAACCCACACATGCATGGGGCAATCATGCAAGCTCCACACAGAGGCCCCAGCCAGTCAGCAGGTTTGAACCCAGAACCTTCTTGCTGTGAGGTGACACTGCTAACCACTGCATTGCCCACTATTTTTCCTGTGCCCAAATCTAAATGTATCTGCATTGAAGAGATACTTAATGATGACACTATTGATGTTGTCATAACACATGAATAAAGGTGGGTTGAGCTGAAATATTGAAGGTGCATCCGGGGGGCGGGGGGCGGGTGTGGGGGGACGGGGGGGGGGGGGGGCAACCCAATGAGCAGTCTGAGGGATGTCCCAGCCAACTGTGACTGGCAGCTGACTGGCTTACACCTGCTCCATCCAGTCCTCTATATCATTACCACCCACTGACTGTACAACCAGCACGTAGAGCACTCATCCCTCCTCCCCCACAGATATCCAACCCAACCCTGCCAACACACTTCAGTACACTTCAGACCTTCTTCCCTCTTTGCATATACATATATTCTCTGTCTCTACTCAAATGTATTTTGCCAATCACTTTCTTGAGCTTCTGCCGCTGCCAAAGTCTGGAGACGTAGGCGAGAGGAGTGTCGGCTGGTCACAGTGCCCTTGCCCTGAATTGAAACAGCGTCTCCTGTTACACAGCTGTCTGCTGCCTGTCCTCCGAGTGGGAGGTTACCAAATTAGTCTCTGTGCAGGTTTCTACTATCACTCCATTTACCAATCTTCCACTGTTCCTCATGCAGCATACAACACATTTTATATAGTTTTATATAACTATATATATTACATACGTTTTATAAGTATGTTGTTGAAGCATACTGTAAATACCTAGATTTTGCATGGGATAAAACTCAACATATTAATTGCATTTCTGGTTTATATGTAAGTAAGACTCGCAATAGGTTTGGATAATTTGTATTTTCCAGAAGGAAGTTTTTTCATCTACATATGAGACACCAGATACTGTGGCTACCTGCTGATATTTCACCCAAAGCAATTAAATGATTCCAGTTTAGAACAGTTATGCAACAGGATGGTGACATGATGCATGTGTCTTTTTCCAGTGTTGATCACCAAGTTACTCAAGCTTCACAAGATACTGAAATACAACTCAGGCCACAGAAATATTCTCCCATTACAGCTTGGATGTTTGTTAAATGAGGACGGGTCGATTGTATTGTTATGATAAAATTATAGGTTTGAAAGTTTTACAGTTTTAAAGATTTTTGAGTTTTGAGTGAATGTTTTGCTGTGTTTTTGTGTGCACCATGTCCTTTCACAATCCTGATTTTTCTGAGTGTTGAATTTGAACAATTTCTGTCTTCTTATCCCTCTGAGTTTGTCAGAGGATGTGAGCATTAGTGCAAAGCCTTGCAGGACACTTTCTTGAAACATATACAGCTTGACCCTTGCAAAGGAATCCATACCAACTGCACTGACCTGTGTCAGAATAGCACCATGTCAAGCTGTTAGGTCAGAGCAAATTATGTCACATTGGTTAGGAATGGTGGAAATGAGCAATTTCAGTACCTCTGCCACGAGTAGTGAGACCTATCAGCTGTTCCCTCTTTATGGAACCATTTCAATGAAACCTGATTGGCAAGGTAACATTATGTGCTTGGCAACCAAACACAATGACGTAGCAAGCCTCTATAAATAATACCTTTATGACAGGCTATATTTAGAGCTTCTCTCCCGCATTCAACACCTGTCCATAGAGAACTTGCTGGGAGACACAAATTATGCATGCAACATAAAATCTAAAGAGGTATCTCATTCCATAATGTGTCTGAGTACAAATAAAAGATTTAGTTTTAATCATTGACTCTTAAAATCTTGAATGACTGCTCAAAAGAAAAACTCTTGGCTAAATTTGGTCTTTTACGAGATGAACTCTCTTTTGCAGGCCTGGGGAGCTGCGCTGGTTGCAGTGTTTTGTTGAAGTGTTGGTGGTTGGTCTTACTCCATTGAAACCTGAGCCACTAGGGTCACGTGTACATAGTGTGGTCAGGGGGAGGCTATAATTATACCAGACTTGCGGGTCCATCTCCACCCTGCCAAACAGGAGCCCCCGCCCACCTCGTACCCTGATTCAATTTCACCAAGTCAGTTCTCCATCCATCTC